TCAGCGTGGTTAGCCACTCAGACATATTAAACATAAAGCCATTGATCTACTGTTGCTGCGGTGAGGACGAACAGTATGTAGGCATGTATGGAAAATACCAGCCAGGTTTACAGAGATCTCACCAAACTGGCTGTTTTTCCCGGTTTAATTTTCGACCTCATTAACTGCGGCTCAGTGTAGATTTCACACTAAATGCCGGCTCTTTTTCTACTGTAATTTTTTTAATGTACATATTCAAACACTTTTCAGAGAGCTTTACCATAAATTAGTTACTCTACAACTTTCTACATGCCATTTACCTCTGTAAATACAATCACACTGTTCACAAGAATCTGTCAGTTTTGACATTCTGTAGTATATCAGCGAGAAGCTGCAGAGTATCATGTAAAGCAATCATCACAATGCAAAAAGAAGATTCAATACAAATAAGTCACACAACAGATGAGTGTTTGAAGGTCCTTCATAATGCAAGACATCACTTCTTAGAAAGTCCATTTATTAGTTCAAGCGGATTGCATGAACAGAGTCAAAGCTTCTTTACTTCATTAAAGTCAATCAAATAAAGCAGGTCAGCTCCGGCTGCCAGTAATTAAAAGACTTTTTTTCCTGATGGAGAAAGGCTGTCACTTTTACCAATAATGCTCACCTGTCAGCACTACTAACTTTCTGCTTCATTAATTGTCCCCTTTCTGTGGTTGAAGCAGTTAATTCTGTCCTTGTGAGGACTTGAAATATGAACACTGTTCATATTTTCTGTCTGAAGGGAAATAAGCTGAGGCAGGTGTACACAACAGACATAAACAATACATGTTTGCACACAGTCGATAGAAAGTCTAAGGCAAAGGTACAAGCAACTGTACAATTACTTCACTGTGCCACTTAGCATAGCTGTCACCGTGATAATAACTGGCTCTCCGTGATAATTACAGTTTGGTCACATTAATGTGATATTGTATCAGGTCCTCAAGCACAGTGTGAAGCTGGATGAATTAAGTCACGGTTCAGGGATATTTAATCATTTCAATTCTATGACTTCTTTGCTGGGCGGCACAAGAAGGTTATAGGTTCATATCTACTGAACAAAAGACACACTTACAGAAGAATACAGGCATTCTTTGGTTGCCATTTCAGTGTTTCCTCTTTAAATTAAATAAGAAGTTAATTACTGTACTGTATTAACTGAGTTTCTGGTCTTTCTTGGAACTGTCGCACGATATTTGTTTAGTCCCATTTCGCTTATTCTTTGCACTGCGTGCTTAAGGTGATACTACATTTAATGTACAGTATCCCTCCCTTAGTTAATTATCACAGCTTCCTCCTTCCTCGTGCCACACGGTTAAGGGAGTGCTACTGTATTTAATGTAAGTACTGTTAAGACAAACACTGGCCAGACCAAATTATTCCCTACGGGAGTCTGTTTTATGGTGGCCTATTTCTAGCTGAACTTTGCACTGTGCTCGGTCACACAAACATCAGGAAATCAAAACCACGGTGATCAAAAGTCTCTGAAATAAGCTGAAAATAATCATCACAAAACTGCTACATGATTCAAACGTAAACATCTTTATTCCCACGAGTCTTTGGGCTCGCAAGAAGGAACAACTAATTTTAATAGAGCACAAGACTGTTCAGTACTGTAAATATTTCCTCTCAGTGCCTAACTGTACTCACAAAGATTGCACATTACTGTTCAAAACCTCCATCCAATTTCTGCAGTGGACAGTTTGTGCAAAGCTTTACGACAGTTCGCTAAAATGCAAACTAAAACCCAGACTAATAAACTTGCACTGTGTTTTCCAGCCACCAGCTAATTGGTGCACCGAGCGAACACAAAGGTCCTGGTTCAGCCTGACAGCCAGAGGAACTGACAAAGCATTTCCATTTCTGTCTTTTACGCACTCCAGCTCCACCGCTGTGCTCTTTCAGCCCTCACAAATGTCTCGTCAGACACATCTAATCTTCTCATCCCATGCTGCTCAGTCTTCCTACAGTCAGTTAACCCAGCAAAGGGCGATTAATGAGAAATTAATCTCTTTAATTCACTGCAAAGGTCTTCTCTTCTTTTAACCAGATAAGCTGCTGCTGCACTTTTCCAGATTATGATAATAATAAAATTAATTTATGAAGACCAGCATGTAATACAGGATCCTCATCTCTGACTGGTCTGTAGCTGACAGGGAGAAAAAAGGCAAAATAAGACAAGAATGCATTTAGGTGGATTTTATTTTATAGCTCTTTCAATCTGTATATGCAAATCTATCTTTTCACTAACAGAAGAAAGGAAAAAATGTGACATGATCCTCATTTCAGCTTTAACAAAACAGGTGGAGAAAAAAAATCTTTATTAAAATATATCTTTGTCATTTGATGATTCACTATATAACTGCAAAACAGACCCTGAGTTCCAAAAAAACCCGAAAAAAGTTCATAAATGCATTAGTAACTTTTTCAACATTACATTTCTTTCAGCTGGGAAGTTTCACTAAGTGAAGTGAAAACTGCTCTTCCCATCTGTTAAGTGTTTTTCTCCATTCATTTCTGGGGAGATCATTAATCATTCAACAGCAACGTGCAACACAGTGGGTGTGTTTACTCGTGTGTGTTTTTATGTGTGCGTGTGTGTGTAACAAAACGTCAAATCCTGCCGGTTTTTGCGTTCGGCTCCATTCTAGGTGCCTATTTCCTGCTCTGCACTGTTGTCTGTTTGTTATCAGCTACCAGCTTACAGGTGACTCATGCACACAATGAACAATGAAACCATACATCAACCGGTTGCCAGGCAATGTCCAAAACTTTGACTGACTCTGCAGAAATGGAGTCTGATAGTAACCTTGCAAGAAAAACACAAGCTGCAGGAAAGCATCATTTTGACTAACTTTCACAAATTTCACAAGCTGCCGGTGTTACACTAACATTTCAATTAGAAACAAAACATGAGTGCCGGTAACAGTCAGCTTTGTTTGGTAGCTGTCATATAAAAGACAAACCAGTTACTGTAATTGTGGCAGGGAAATAGGAAGTTGTGTTCAAATCTTTTATGATTATTCATCACACTACTGCATTTCAACACCACAGAACTTGGAACCTTGGGAAAAACTAGCATGTTATCTTTTGTCTAGGCATTGTTCTGATTCCACTTTTATGTTGCTGTTCAGGGAGCAGAAAGTAGAAGCATCCTATCTGTGCATTTGCTGTGCTTTGTCAACAATCGCTTCCCCCGGAACTTTCTTCAGCTGCTCAACAGTAAAAGCCTGGGAAGCGAGGGGAAAGTTGATCAATTCCATAATGAAAAGCTCTGTTTTGATGTGGTACAAATGAAACGCACAACACTGATTTTTATTTTTTCTGTACAATTAAACTGAAGAAGGACCAAACATTTTCAGGGATAGATAATATACGTCAAGAATCAATAATCAATACTGTAGGCTGCAAGAATGTTGCTTGATGCCCAGTTGTAGTCCTTAATCCACAGTGAACTGGTTTTATGGGGCAACTCTAACTGCAAGGATAAATAAAGGACAGCGCCTCTATAGCTCCCTTTGTTGTTTCTTTCTAAGTGAAACTAACGGCAAAGACGCATGATTGTCTCTGCCAGTCATAAACCTGCTGAAGATTACAGTGTTTCTACTTTCGGTGATTTCTTTTCCTACTTAAAAAGTCCAGATTTTGCATAAGGTGTAAGCGTGTACTAATCAGTAAATGAATGCCCTAAAAGTAATTAAACAAACCAATCATTTCTGCATTTACCAAAACATACTGGGGCATTCCAGTGCAGTTTTCTTACATAATCGCTGAGTGGAGACTGCTTCGGCATACTGGTAACCCAACTCAAACAAAATGCCTTCAGAGTGACTCCTGCAGCGCCCCGATCCCCAACGTGATCTCCATTCCAAGTTTGATACCTGTGGTTTCCCTCCATTGTGTTGTCCAGCCAGTGTCAAACCATTTTCACACCGGAGGAGCCAAACCAATGCTCGTTTTCTTGCCAACAACAACAGCTGCCATGGCAGCATTCCGGGAGGTCCACTTTTTAGGAGCAGGTCACTTCTTTGTTAAAGGGCCAACGAGAGGGTTTTTTTTTTTCAACTCTGCTCAAAGGTTGAGCAACTTGCTGAAATGAGCCAATGGCAGAGCAAAACTGAAGTCTGTTAATGAGGGAAAAGTGGCAGCTTTTTAAAATAAAATGTCAGCATGTGTGGGGGGCACAATTTTCTTTAAAACCACAGATCATAAACAGGGACAGAACTAACACTTCGTTTCCACCTACAAGTTCAGCACCAGTCCCCGAAAACATCAACACCTCCAACAACCTACATCAGCTTGCCGCAATATGATTGGCAGACACACTGATTAAGATGAAGCCTTCTTTTTGGGAGTGAAAAAGCTGTAAATCTTGGATTTACACAGCAGAAAGAGGGGGGGAGAGAGGGGGTAAGAGTCACACTCCAGTGCACCGCTTCAAAGGAAACTTCAAAACACTGATGGAGCACATGGGAGACCAAACCTCCCACCAGGCAAGACATGTCAAAGACACTCAAAGGGCTCCACGTTTAAACTCCAAGGTGTGTTCACACAAAACTAATGCTAAATAACAACACTGTGGCCTTCTCCAAGTCAGTTTTACATGGCCTCACATGGTAATCTGACATGTGATTTAAGCATTATATGTAAAATTGATATTTAAAAATCCAACTGAGTCTGTCTCTGAATTAAATGAGTACAAATATTAGAGGAAGCATAATTGCAGTGCTCATTATTAGAAGTAATAACTAAGCTATAAGCCTACAATAAGCTAAAGTTACGTTCAGGGTCCAGTTCAATAGCATTGCGCTCTTCCATCATAATTAGCTTCGCAATGCCGAAAAGTAAACAGATTTTAACAGAAATAGAAAAAACCGTGGACAACGTGGAGTCGTGTCCTATCAAATGATGTGGAAAAGGAAAAATATGAAAAAATGCAAGATTTTAAACGGCGTCCTGTCAGGCTCCCTTCCACTCACCCGTATTCTTCTCATCGCCGCCACAATCTCCACTCGGCTGCTCGGCCGCGCCACATCCAGACTGCCAATGTACTAAAATATGACAGGTACAGCACATTAGTGAAAAAGGAAGCTGACTTTCCTTAAATCTCAAACACAAGTTCCTACAGTAAGGTAATAATCAGCCCAGCTTTGGGCAACTTTTACCTCTTGACAAGCTGACAACTTAAGTTTACTGCGTGAGCACAAAACAAATTCTCGGGAGACCCAAGAGTCTTATGCCAGTTACCTGTTTTGTTTACGGTATATACGAGTTAAACAAGGCGCTTTTCAGGCACAGGTTAGTTAACGAAGAAGACTCGGTGACATAATAAAATATAAATGAAGTGCTGCGCTAACCACTTCAAAGTTACTTGGAAACTCACCTTTGCCTCGAAGTTGATCCCATGCTGGAATGCTTCCTCGTTGTGCAATGGGATCCTCAGATCGTGCCCATCATCTACGAGGTTGTACTTGGTTTTCCCAGGCATTTTGTTTCATCCAAATATTCCTACTCCACAGTGCCAATAGGATATATGCGGGAACAGCTCGGTTTACCGGGGATAAATCCAAGAAAAGCAATTCCAAATCCGATCAGTGAATGTTCTCCATAGCGGGAAAGCGTCCCGACGCTACCACACCGCCGTCAACAGCGGCCACAACTTCACCGGCGCTCCGGGAAACTGCCGGCCCGCTAACGGTCACCGCTACGGCTTTAACGACACACGCAGGCCGACACAAACAGCGTCATGCGGGGACAGATGTGTTTTCCCGACTTTTCCTGTGGCGAGTGTGGAAGTTCGTCGGGTCCTGCCTCCGGTTCAGGACTCCCCCCACCCCGCCGCCCTCATGGAGGAAAGGTGTGATTGGAGGAGTCCGGGGATCCCGCCTGTTTCCATTGGAGCAGAGACGCGCCGTGGCCATGAGGAGGAGTGGCTGAAACTCTCGTACCTGCCCCCTCCACCCCACAACCTGCCCCCTCCCTGTTTACACACACACACACACACACACACACACACACACACACACACACACACACACACACACACACACACACACACTATAATGGAAATAACCTGAATGACACCTATGCAAGTGGCGTGTATATTTACAGGTGTTTACTGTAAACGCTGGCTTTGGTCAGCAGTAAAATAACCTGTATGTAAACGCACTGCCTGGAGACTGATGCAAAACGATGTCCTTCAATTAGCAAAAAAGTAAATTAATTAAAAAATGTTGTATTCATCTCTTGTGATGTTATTTAACATTTTTGGAGCGATATTGTGAAGAAGAGATAGCACGCCTTGCTTTTGATCTTTTTGCCATTAAAATAAGAAACACAGCCTTACAGGTGTAGCAAGAACACAACTGGGATTTTGAATTAAATAAAAAGGACAAGGCTACCAACTAGTGGCCACATCTGCTAACACCTAGTGGGAAGCTACTAAATAAACGTACAAGTTAAATATATTGTGATTTTTTTTAAAAGCACACCGTACTTTTATAAATATTTTTATGAATTTTTTTTTTTTTTAAAAAGGAACCGTCACAATAAATCATGATTTTTTAATGTTATACTCATATTAACATCAGGAACTTATAACATGTTATTTAAAAATTACAGTAGGCGTCTAAGTTTTTATTTAAGAAAAATAGAAAAACTTCACTTAGTAGTTTGTTATAATTGTTTACATCTTCTATTCAGAGTCTTTCTGAATAAATTTAATTGAACTTTTTACATTTTATTTTATCTATTATTCTGATGTCTTTTTCTCAACACATCATTCTGAAACCTTTAAATATTACAGGCTTCAGTATTGGGAAAAGGAATTATGATACATTATTCTAGATGTTTGCATTGCATTGTTTTGTCTCACTCCAAAAACTCAAAATCTTACCAAGTACATTTGTCTTATTTCTATTCAACTTAAAACACTTAAAATAAGACAAAATCAGCTGCAGAGCAACATTTCAGTAATACAGGGATGTAAGTGTAATGAGATAAATTTGACTAGAAATAAGACAAATATACTTTTTTTAAAAAGTTTTTGCAGCGCTTTATTTCAGATTTGTCACACCCCTATAAAAACATACATCAACAGAAAAGAGACCTTTAAAAAAAAGTCTGAATTTAAATCCCTGCACAATCCAGAAAAAGGTAGCTGTAGTCTAGTTAGCAATTTTATCAGTACAATAATAATAGGCTGCTGTTGCTGATAATTAAAGGGAGATCTTGTGCACTCAGACATTCGTGGACACCCATCCACACATTCTGTTCAAGCAGCTGGAATAACACTATCTCCAGGAAAACAGACCTATGTGGTCAGTAGACAGGGTAGTGTTCATACTTAATGCAGTTGTCATGTTGATGCACACACCATCTGCGTCACCCTAGGAGTTAAAGATGCATCACTTCCCACAAGGTGGTCCCAGGCGGGTAGGGGTGGGGAAGTGGAGCAGCACAAATTCACATTCACGCCACCTCTGTGGAAATTTCCAAAGTGCTGCTGCTGCTGCTAATAGGGCTTGTAGCAGTGTGGTATGATTTACTCCAAACTGCCATCTCCCAAATTCCCACCTGCTTTCTTAATTATCATCGTGCTTCAGCGTGCAGTTAAATTAGAACATCATTCTCATACATCAAAATTAACTCCTCCGTTTAGCAACTGAGCGCTTCCTAAATGCTGTGGAGGTGGATTACCTTCAAACCAAATCACGTAATTACAGAGAACATTAGCTGGCCTCTCAGCTTTAAATGAACAAACACACATGAAGCCCTTATAACAGCTCACTGATATAACTATCAGTGAGTTTCTTTTTATTCTGCCTGGAGTATTTTGACAGGTATCTCCATAAAAGACGGCTGTATTACACCAATCCTTCAGCCTTTGTGGTCATGGCCACCTTGCCCTCGCGGCAGCTATTTGGCAGACATGAACAGCTGCTGTCTGTGCATGAGGAATTTATGCTCAGTACAACCAGTTACCCACTTAGGGACCCCATGTGTTCTTAAGGCTCTTTAAAAAGGATAGAGAACAATTTAATCCTTGCCAGGTCACCAGCTTCATATTGATCTGTTGATTAGGGATGCGGCATCATAAGCACACGCTCCCTGCATGAACTAGGTCTTGAATGCTGTTCACACAAATAGCATGGGTCCACATAGAGGACAAAAGGCAACATGCAAGGTTGTCACAGTCACATATTTGTGCCCTTGTGGGGAAATCTTTAACCTTCAGTGACAGTTATGTTGTTAACCTAAAGGTGAAAAAATATACAAGTTTTTTTTTTAAAGAAATATGTATTCTACATTTGGAAATAGACTAGCATTTGTATGGATGTTTTTTCAGGGTTACTACAGCCACTTCAAGCTTTAAATATGTCACCTATCTCACATCTACTGCCTAACGTGGATGTCTTTGGAGTGAACTAGAGCAGTCAAACAAATTCCACCAGTCATGGGGAAATTGAAGTTAACAGTAACCACATACACATCAGATATATACTGATATATAAGAAAGGAGGAAATAATAAGTCCTTTAAATCTGAAGGAAAATTATTTAAGACCTGAAACAGATTATTTCCTGATACTACATCTTGAATCTAGGATAAACACTAAAAATGCAAGTTTTTTGCTAAAAAACACATTCATATCTTTTTGGCCAATTCATTTTTTTCTGGCACAGGTATTTATTTGGGCATTATAATATAGCTCCTGCCCTTCTAACACTCTAAACATCGCTGTGATAGTCTCTAAATACACACTGTGTCATTTTAAGTGGATCTTCTACTAAGAAAGGTTTACTTATAAAGCGCTTTTAAAGAACAAAATTCACAAAGTGATTTACAATTTAATATTTTCAAATAATTTTTGCAAATATGGCCTGTCCCTGTGGTAAAAGAAGATGGCGTACGCATCAACAGTTGAAGTTGATGTGTTTCTCTTAACCCATTCCTGCACTGCACTTGCTTACAGTAAAGTAATCAGGCAATCAGGACATGATGGCCAAGACCCTGTGGCATGAGCTGCAAACTGGCCCGGGTCTGTGTCACACTATACATACAGATATTGTCTGTATGTATTGTATGTCTACTTTTAAGGTGTCTTTTTAATACCCCATCATGTTACTGATCTGTTGTCAATTAATGTAATTTGTTGCAAAATGTTACTCCAGTGGTTTCTTTTTATTAACACTTACTTTTCCAGTTTTTTTGTTCTTCCTTTTCAAAAAATTGTGAGATGTGTTGCATGCCCAACTCCTGTCCTAATGTCTTTGGAAGTGGGATTCTACGATGATCATAAAATGTGCGTTACCCTTTAACCACCCAAGATTTGAGAGCAGCAACACAAAGAAATCAAGGACTGCATTAATAGTTAAAGATACTTTTCTGCAATTGTAGCCCTTGGTGCTATGGTGGTGGTTACAGTGAATGGGCACAAATGATAGAAGGTGGCTTCTTGAAGTAAACATGAATTTACCAAGTCAAGTATCAGGGATTAATTAGTCTAGGTAAATGATGGTTACATTGGATTGGAGGATAAACTGTGTTTTTGAGACTGCCCCATTTTCACAGACCACCTTTAAATCATAAAGGGGGGAAATAAATAAATACAAGAAAGGTGAGGTGGTATTTTCCATTAGTTTCAGGTGGCTGAGGCATGAACATATTTAGGAATTCCACTCATACCACTTCATCATATCTATTTTGCTTTCCCAGGAGGAAGGACCTTGTCTGAGACTATTTACCACAACATTCATCCACACTAAGCTGGTATTCTAAAAGATGCTCACTTCAGTAGCTTTATCTTAACTCATCAGTTTAGTTTTTAGTGTGAATCAGAGCCCTGTTGTTCTTTTGGTACCAACATCATGCATTGTTAAGGTCAGCAGGAGCTTTGAACCTGGGATATCTTTTGTCTTAGCCACAAGCAACAAGAAAAACACAGACACGGTAGGTTTAAAAGACAGTCCCCATACAACACACACACATGCATGCATGCACAGCCTTACACATCTTGAGGGCCTTTTAAGCTAAATTAATAATGGAGATCTTTAAAGAATGTGGGCCACACAACAAAGAAGACAGACAAGAAGGGAAGCAGCGGGACAGCTAATGACATTTACAATTGTGCCTGAAGCTGTGTAGCAACATGCAGTATTAAAAGCTGTCTTCACTTCACACTTGGGGGTAGATTAGTACAGATATAATCTGCCTCTGTTACAGCATCCAAGCACATAAAAGGCTTATACAACCCAGTGTTAATTATGTAGCAGGCTTGGACGTGGAATTAAATGTAAGTCTTTGCTGTGCTTGTTTGTAAAAGTGAGTGAAGTCACATAGATGGTGAAAAAAGAGGATCAACTGAAAGATATGTTTGAAGAGATAAATTAGTCTTACAGTCACTCCAGTTTGTAATTTTGATTCTCATAACAACCACCATTGATTTTATTGCAGCGTTTGTTTTAATGGTGTTTTTGACACTCATGCCAAATATCTGCAACACTGTCATGTAGCTCATATATTGTGGTTTACAGAGCAATTTAAAAACTGTATCATTCATCACTTTTAGGATCAACCCAAACTGATGTGTCTATAGCAAGCACCAACATCCAAGGCTGAAGAATGAGGCCAAATGGGGAACAGCCAAATACAGAGTGATTTCTGAAGTAGCCACTCGAGGCTGGCTCCAAAAGTGTTTCAGTGATGTAGACTGTATATAAACGATGGATATAGACGATGATTCACCTGATAGTTTTAAAATACACATTTAGAAGCTTCAATGTACCATTCTACCATTTGTTTGAGTTTTCTTTGGCTATATTTATTTGTTTTAAGCCAGAAGGAGATTTAGGTTAAG